TCTCGCTCTGCGGCCCAGGCTGGAGTGCAGTGGCGCGATCTTGACTCAGTGAAGCCTCTGCCTCGCAGGTTCAAACACTTCTCCCGCCTCAGCCTCCTGAGTAGCTGGGACTATAGACTTGCACAACCATGCCTGGACAGTTTTTGTATTTGTCGTAGAGAGGAGGTTTTGTCATGCTGGGCAGGCTGATCTCAAACTCCTGGCCTCACGCAATCTGCCTGCCTCAGACTTCCACAGTGCTGGGATTATAGGCGTGAACTGCCACTGCACCCGGCCACCATCTTCCATTTTTAAAAGTGTTGTTTTCTCTTTGTGAATAAGCTGGAACAGCTCATCTGCTGGTGACCCTGAAAGCTGCCTTTCTCCTCTCAGCCTTCCTCCTTTGCTCACCTGGATATATCCTAAGAACCCCAATGTTGATGTGTTTGGACAGAATGTAAAACCCACCTCTCCTGGTGGGCTTCTTTATGCGGATGATGATGTGGACGGGGCTCTTGGTGCATCCCAGCCGCTCGCTTTTTCGCGCCTGGCTTCCTCCCCAGGGCCTCATCCCCTTCAGCCTACTGGTCACTGCTCCGTCACTGTCCTCATCACCTGCATCAGCTCCTCTTTCGGCTGTCACTGTCACCTCCCGAGTGCGCTTTTGATACTGCTCTCCAGGCTAAACACCAAGCCTGCACTTCGGTAATTACCCATTTTCCAGCAAATAAAGTTTAACCCCCTTCTAATGAATTGAACAGGACTCCTAAAACAAGTTTCATTTGTAGCTACTCCCACAGGCTTAGACCTGCAGCTGAACTATATACCAAGCTGAACTACTGACTGTCAAATGTGTGTTGATGTTGGTGTTGTTATAACATGTCCTCTAATGCTGTAACTTTGCTTAGAATATCCTTCTCCACACAGCCTCCTGGGGACCCTCACCAACTGTCGCCATCCTCACTATCCGTCGCCCTGTGGCTCAGCTCCATACAACTTCCTGTGGACCCTCACCATCCGTCACTCTGTGGCTCAGCTCCATGCAACCTCCTGGAGACCCTCACCATCCGTCACCCTGTGGCTCAGCTCCATACGACCTCCTGGGGACCCTCACCATCCATCGCCCTGTGGCTCAGCTCCATACGACCTCCTGGGGACCCTCACCATCCATCGCCCTGTGGCTCAGCTCCATACGACCTCCTGGGGACCCTCACCATCCATCGCCCTGTGGCTCAGCTCCATACAACCTCCTGGGGACCCTCACCGTCCGTCACTCTGTGGCTCAGCTCCATACGACCTCCTGGGGACCTTCACCATCCGTCACTCTGTGGCTCAGCTCCATACAACCTCCTGGGGATCCTCACCATCCGTCGCCCTGTGGCTCAGCTCCATACAACCTCCTGGGGACCCTCACCATCCGTCACCCTGTGGCTCAGCGTCGCCTCCTCTCTCCTCTGCTCTGACCCACCCGCCTGGTCAGAATTAAGACATGACTTATTCATTATCTTTAGGTTTTGATAAGTACATACACATTTGGAAAGTATCTTTTGGGTCGGATTCTTACCCTAGTGACATCACCCATCCTCCTGGATCCCATCTACGTTTCCCTTGAACGTGCAGAAATGCATTAGAGTGTGCCAGGATGGTTAGCCTTTACATCTTAGCCTCAGGGACAGATTATGTACTCACATAGGCATTTACTAATTTACTAGGTTTCTGGAATTCCACGCTGACATTGGGGATTATGTTTAAATGATTAACAATTTCCTAGACAGAAACAGTTTTCCACGATTCATGGGGGCTCATCGTATGTCTACATCTTTATCTGGAACTTTATAAATGTTGGAAAGGCTATAAACATTTCAGAGCCCCGTGTTTTCTGGGGCAGGGAACGGCTGGGTAAGCGCATGGACAGCTCCAGCAAGAAAGAGCAAACGACAGGTGAGCACAGGATGAGGGGAAACTGGAGGACTTGGGATCATGGGAGACCTGTGGTCAAGGGCAGTGTACCTTGGGGCCTCCAGGCCAAAGTGGTGCTAGGGCGGATGTTGGGCCCGGAGCCCAAGGGAGAGCACAGATGGCACTGACCTCTGCGAAGCAGCTCTGTGGCCTGTGTGAGGGTGCATCCTGTGCCTTCCTGGCCCTCTGACTGTACAGCTTTGCCCCCGCTGTGAGAGCACATCTGACGGCTTGGACTGGCACTGCCTTGCAAGGTTCCCAAGGCTCCCTGGTGAGGAGCCGCCTCTCCTGATTTTGGCAGCGGGACATGAGACCCTCCAAGGCTGACTTGCTCGTGGCTCTTCTGCATGACATCAAGACAGCTTCTTCACTGTCTGCCTCGGGACCTGGTGATGCCTCATTTCACAGCAGGTGAGGCCTTTGGGATCCCTGTTTAAAGTCCCCATGGCACAGGGAGCGGTGCAGGTAGACACCGTCCAGCCATTTGACTGCACTCCTGGAGGCTTTGGTTTTGCACATGATTGTAAAGCAGCAGAGTGCGAGTGCTCCGGGTGAGCGCGGGCGCTGATGGACGGGACGGGCAGCTGAGCATCTCCGTGCCCGTGCGTCTTCACTTGCAGTCAGGATTCCAATCATCGCAGCTGATGGTGACATTATATATGTGAAATGCTTGTTGTAATTTCTGGCACATAGCTGATGCCCAGCAAATGTTCTTTTGTGATTAGAGGCCATTCTGGAACCGTAGGGGGCACAGGGTGTTAGTGGGAATCGAATTCCTGGAGCGTCATCATTTGTGGAAAATGTGGCCTTGGCTTCTGCACTGGAACAACTGCAGGGCTCTTGGAGCCCTTGCTGCTTGTCTGATCCCGTGGAAAGGCATGCGGGTCGGCTGGGCAGAGAGAACAGGGAGCAGCCCTTGGCAAGCCTGCCTGGTGCGACCCTGCTGAGGGGCCATGGGGGAAGGAGAGGGCCTGGGAGGGCTGGAGAACAGAGTAAAGGTGCTTGGAAAACAGGATTTTGAGGATATACTCAAGAAACACGTCTGTTTGTTAAAGACGAGAGTGCAAAGAGGGGCCCCTGGGTGACTGTGAATGAGGAGGATGCCTTTGTAGGCACGTGGTCGACGGGGCCTCCCTCTGTTCACTGACCATGGAGAATCGGCAAAGCGGTGGATGGAGGATCGTTTGACAGAACATCACCACCAAGGAGCATCTGTGGAAATGGACTTAGGGATGTTTCAGACGCTATGTGGAGGCCGGAAAACACCACAGCCAAGGGGCAGGTGCGATCCCCACCTTCTCCAGGTGGCTTAGGCACACGCTTCCTCCAGGCCATCCTAGGCACGTGGGCTGCCAGGAGCCGGGACTCTGAGCCAGACGACGTGGGCTCCAGCGCAGCTCTGCTGCTTAATCTCTTGGCCCCTCAGTTTCCTCAAATCCAAAAGTGAATGAATTGCGAATGCTCAGCGCGGCTGTGGAGACGGTGGAGGACAGCTCCTTGCCCGAGTTCCCAGAATGGGCCCAGGAGAAGGCCAGGGCTCGGCCTCGCTTTTCTCTCCGAAGGGGGCTGGCAACACTCTGACTGCAGACAGAATTGGAGCGTGTGCGTTTGTCCTGGAGCAGGAGGGAGAATCCCAGACATGACAGGTGTGCGAGGCGGATCTGTGCCCTGAGCACGTTCGGGATCACTGTTTTGTGACGTCAGCTCTCACGACAGACCCCAGTGTGGGAGGAGGAGGCCTTGAACCCACACAACTACCTTGAACTGCGGCACAAGTGAGGGAAGAACGCTGGCGAATCACTGTCTAAGTGACGTTTTCTCCACAGTTGCATATACGTAACCTTATGTTTCTGTTCCTGGAAACAGGAGATTAAAATGAAGAGAAGTTCCTTCCACTTGGATTTCTGGCCACCAAGCACCAGCAGTCCTGAACGAGCTTCCCTGTTTGCTGGTTGGTGTCTGTCGTCAGCAGCCCGTTGACACAGCACGGCGCTGGCTTCACAGTGGCCTCCATCTTCTTTGCAGTGACTTCACGTAAGAAGTGGTAGTTGAAGGCAGCACTTCTGCTTGGCATGTCTGTCAGATGTTCAGATGTCTATGCTAGCGAAGCTGTTACTGGAGCCAGTCATGTCACAAGGTACTCTACCTTCGCTACGCTGGAACCCTAGAGGGCTCCTTCGAGTTCTCAGATTTGCCCAACACAAAAGCACATCTACTTTCCACCTTCATGGATTGACCTGGATCATTCACTCCAGGAATAGATGGCAGCTTACATTCCAGCTTAGATTAGGTTTTCATCATGGGTCTGTGCTATATTAATACCTAACAGACGTAAAATGAATAAAATGTTTAAACCACATTGTGACTAAATTTACATGATGCCAACGCCCCACCAAAAAAATCAGTAGAAAAACAGAGATTTGGACACAAAATGACCAGGAAGTGTTCACCTTCCAGAGGCACTGACATTCACCATACTGGAAGCTCTGGCCACACGAGGGGACTGAAACACTGCTTTTCTAAGATGGAATAAAGTCTAGCTTGGAATGTGCTTGTCTATGTATATTGAATTGGTGTTTTAAAGCTTTTTTATTTACTCTAAACCAGTGATCTAATTCTGGCAGTCCTGTTGGAAGGCATGACTCACTCTTATTCTGTCAAGTGTAGAGGCTGTTTCTGTGCTGCCCGGTGAGGCGCATCGATGTAATAAGCCCTCCGCTGCCCCTGGCCTGTGGCAGTGGTGTCCCAAGGGGAGCTCAGCAGTGACTGCGGGCATCTTTGGTAGTCATGAATGGGTGCATGCTACTGGCATCTGGTGGGTGAGGCCGAGGGATGCCTCATGAGTCCCACAGTGCAGAGGATGGTCCCCATGGCAAACGGCCATCTGCCCCCACAACCAGCACTGCAGAGGCTGAGGAATCGTGTCAGGAGCGCGAGGCGTTTGCACTGAGTCCGGAGAAACCTCCCACAAGTTACATTCTTCATGTTTCCTGGGTGGCATCCACAATTTACGCTTTTCATAGACACATGCTGTTTAAGCACAGCTCCCAAATGGCTGGCATGTGAGCACAGAAGCAAATCACTCTCAGTGAGATTTTAATGACAAAACAATCAGCCTTTGAGTTCTGCTTCTAATCCAAACGCCAGCCAGTCAGGCGAGGTCCCCCACGCTGACCACAGGGATCTGGTCTCTCAGGGACACACAGCGGGTTTCACACAGCCACTCTGCAGACAACCTTGCCGTTAGCAACGGCTGACACTCTCTTTAACTCTCCTAGCTTCCTTTCCTCCCTCTCCCCCCCCCCCCAGTCCTTTCCTCCCTCTCCCCCCACCCGCCTGTCCTTTCCTCCCTCTCCCCCCACCC